GCAAGAGGTTCAAACACATCATCTTCCTCACATGCAACTTACAAGATTGAGGAAGCAATGAAGATAACACTCACAACATCTTCCTCAGTACATCATCTAAGATCGAGGAAACAGTCAATATGAAGCTCGCAAAAGTCAACATGGCAGTCACGACGTTCTTGAATAAAAAAAATCTCAACCAAAAATTACGGGAAAAAAAGAGCCCGCTAAGTCAAAAGGAAAATTCCAAAAAAAAACTAAAAAGTTGACTTAGGCAAAAGTTAGGGCATATCGGTGGACCAAAAATTCAAAAGAATTGGTTCATACAAAAATAAGGGATTAAAATCAAAGAAAATGGAAAGTAAGCTTGTGACTGCCACTGCAAAAAAAAACCAGCAGTGCTTGGACCTTATCAACGCTTCTCATCATCATGGCAACTACAAAAATTCTCTTGCAATTAAACGCATCAGTTGCACTAGTTGAACTTAGGATTAGATAACATCAAGGAGAATAGGGTGGTTAAATTTTAAATTTTGAGCCTTATATCCTTTGTTTCTTAAGCTGTGAACCAGGCCACGTTACAACCCTCAAAATTCCTAATTGAAGCTAGGTTCACTATGAAAGCATACTCTTCGAAATTTGTTAAACTGACTCCTAATGTTTGTTAAATTTTCTCTAACCATATTTCTTTTTCACACCTTCGTCTCTAATTATCCATTTATTTTCAATAATCAATTTCAATTTCAAAACATGCATGTGCATCGTGTTAGAATTACTTTTCAAAAGGTACAACTTTACTTACGAATCAATACTTAGCATCAAGGAGATTTCAACAATGGTTTGATCAAAGACGAGCCATTTCAAGAAGCTCCTAACTAGGGGGAAAGCATCTAAGAAGAGCCCTATAATCAGGGGGAAATTTTAATGATCATAGGGGTATATCACATGAACATTCTATCGACTAGAGGAAATTCTTCTAAGATTTGGTCAACTTGGGTCACATCTCCAAGCACTTGTTAAATCAGGGGCATACATTTCTAATACCCTAATAATCAGGGATAGACCTTTCAAAACGCAAATATGGAGGCAGTTCATCTTATGACATGTAGGATCCAAGTTCCTTTTCAAGCAACTTCAGGGGCATACCTTTCGAAGATTCAAACTCTTGGGGCAATCTATGTCAAAGTCATATCACATCATGGTGAGATCAAAGTTCATTCTAAGGATACTTCCTCCAGACCATGAATAATGGGGCATATTTTTCAAGATTCAGAAACTCTTGGGCACTCAAAACGGTTCATCAGGGGAAATCATCCCAAGAGCTGATCAAGGGCATATAGGTTTCAAAATTCAAAAAAAGTAGGGCCAACCATCTCAAGTTCACGATATGGCCAAACTACTTCAAAACTCACATTGAGGCAAATCTCTACAAACACTATTAAATTAAGACAAGGCATGCCATAAAGGGGCAATCTCTCTTTATACTTTCACAATTCCCAGTGAAACTTTTTCCTACGTCAGCAATCTTCGAGTTCGAAACGAGTAATATAGGAATCATGCTAGCATAACACCCTGTCATCGTGTCACAAGCAATCTTGTTACATAAACAATCATCCAAGTCTTAATCATCCACGACCCACCATAGGGTCACCAGTCGAAAGCATCCAAGTCACCATAGATCATTTTCATGCATTCATTAAGTCGCTGCGCTCTAACATCGAATGCATTTCACCTTATTCATATTCTCGTCATATGAATCTTACATGATCAAGAAGCCTTGTAACATTTAGAGGTATTGCGAACCAAGAATTACACTAGGCGACATATCTATGAATCATATCCGTGACCTAGATTCTCAAAAATTTAAATTTCAAATTTCAAACATCGAACCCGTATTATTTATCCCCTAGGTTGTGATAAATATGCAAGTCTGCAATTAGGGGTGTTCGCGGTTCGGTTTGAATCAGTTTTAAAGCAAAAACTCATTTGATCCAAAGATTAATTCACTTAAGGTTCGGTTCGGTTTTGGATGATATATTTAAAAAAATCCAATCTGATCCGATCCAATTTTATGCGGTTTAATTTGGATCGGTTTTTGGATATCCAAATTACACATTATATTTTTATTAATATTATAAAACTACTAATAAATCATAGATTTGATATAATATATAACATATAGTATATTAAAAGTTAATATTACAAAATGAGAGTGATTGATTATGCTTGAAATAATAAAAATAAATAGATTATACCAAACTAATAAATATTATTAAAAAAATTATTATCATCTAATAATAAATTCACATAACATGTCATACTAATAAAAAGTAAATAAGTATCAAAATATATTTATGCGGTTCGGTTTGGTTTGAATCGGTTTTGAAAAATTCATCCGAAATCCAATCCGAACCGATCGGTTTTCATAAAATAACATTCAAACACAACCAATAACTTTCGGTTTTTTTATGGTTTTCGGTTTTTTGCATCGGTTTTCGGTTTTTTATTTGGATTGATTTGGATTTGAACACCCCTATCTGCAATATTACTCGTTGTGTTAGTCTCGAAATCTTAGCTAGTTTGTTACCAGACCTAACTCTATTAGATTTATCCCCTGGCATAAATAGAGTCGACACTCGCGTTTTCTACCCCCTAGGTTATGGTAGACGTATATAATCAGTGATATAACTTGTTGCATTAGTCTCAAAGCAGCAATAAGTTATCTATTTTTCAAAACATGCGTCATTCATCCCCTAGGTTGTGATAAATGTCACGAAACTACGATATAAATTACTATGTTAGTCTCGAAGCGTTAGTAAGATATTTTTAAACCCGTATTATTTACTCCTTGGGTCGTGGTAGATATACGAAAATCTGCGATATAACTCGTTGCGTCAGTCTCGAAGCAGTAATAAGTTATCTATTTCTTGCAATATAATTCATTGTGTTAGTCTCAAAGCAACAACGAGTTATCAAACTTGTGTTATTTACCCCCTATGTTGTGGTAAATGTGCAATAACCGCGATATAACTTGTTGCATCAGTCTCGAAACAGCAATAAGTTATTTATTCTCAAAAACTCGTATTTCTTACCCCCTAGGTTGTGGTAAATGTGCGAGAATCTGTGATATAGTTCATTGTGTTAGTCTCAAAGAAACGATGAGTTATCAAACTTGTGTTATTTATCCCTTAAGTTGTGATAAATAGGCAAAATATGCGTTGTAGCTTACTATGTTAGTCTCAAAACGTTAGTAAGTTCATTATCAAAACTTTTGTTATTTATCCCCTAAGTTGTGGTAAATATGTAAAATTTGCGATATAACTTGTTGTGTTAGTCTCGAAGCAATAATAAGTTATCTATTTTTAAGTTTGTGCTACTTAACTCCTAGGTTATGATAAATACACGAAATCCGCAAGTACTTTTTCCAAGTGTTGACGAGTTATCTGCGTTGTCTTCTCTTATTTATCTATGATTTGTACAAGTTATCTGCGTCCTCATATCTAGGTCGTTTGTGTTCATGCTCTAGGTATTGGTGAGTTAATTGCATCATCTTTGCCTGTTTATTTTTTGGTTTATCGTACAATTTATCTTTTTGTTTATCTTTTTCAAAGTTTTGGTCAAAATTTGGGGTCTTATATTATTTAATAACCCTCCGATTTAAATGTGTGAGACCTTCGTATTCTCGCACCTTCAATCGAATAGTAATTAAATAGAGGAAGTTGTCATATCCCAAATTTGTCCGCCCTATTTCTAACAGTCAAATTATTTTTAAACTTGAGCTTTATAAAATTTTTGGTTTAGTTTTACTAACATTTTAATATTAATTTATTTCGTTTCTCTTTAAATTATTTATATTTCTTAAACAGCAAGAACTCACTTACCCTTCATACACTTTCAATTGACTTTTCATTTCGAATAAATAACATAGCCCAATTGTTACTAACTTTATTTTCATATTTAAAATCATAAAAATGTATTTTTTTTATCATTTTAATTTCAAATTTTGTTTTTATTTTTAAGGTATTTTTAGAAATAATTTTTTATTTACTTTTATGCACTTTTTTAACCAAAATTGAATGCAAAAATCATAATAAATACCAGAAATATTTCTTTTTCTAGTTAATTATTTCTCATTGGTCAATCTATACCAATTTGTGTCATACTCCGCTTCTAATTTGTCAGTTGACCAAAGAATATCTGATTTATCAATTAATTATTTTTCCTATTTTGTTAACCTAATCATTCCTATAAATATTCAGTATTTCTCACAATTTCATTCATCAACAATATATCAATAATTTTCTATCTCTTTTTCCGAAACATTTTTCTACACAATTTTTTGAATTTTGTCTAGAACAGACATTTAACCCTGTTTTTGTCTTGAATAGACAATTACCAACAATCGTTCACATATGAATAATTCTCACATTTTACTTACAAATTTGTTCTTGCAATTTCTTTTTAAAACTTATTTTCAAAAATATTTTTGCTTTTCTTCTCTTTGTTCATCTTTGTTCAGTGATTAAATATGGGATCACCCTCTCTTTATTTTATTTTCAATTTAATATTTTTTATAATTTTAATTTATTTATTGTTTTAATCGGATAATAATAATAATAATACTGATTATTTATTTTTAAAACTTTGAATCCACGATCTTTAACTTTCACACACAACCATTCTTTTATGTTAGATTTCAAAAGAGTAACCATTTAAAGAACCTATTAACATTACTATCACATCGTATATAGTGGCTGCGGCGGAGATATAAATAACAAGTTATTAATGGCGGGGCACCAACATCTCTAAGGCTTACCATTTTGTCCTCCTTTTCTGTTCTAAGGATATCCATATTATATGCCTTTCACTCTTTAAATGCAAACTGTTTGATCAAAGTTCTCACCAAATTTATTGACCTTTTCTCTTCTCAAGTAAAGTCAAAAACACCATTTCAAACTTTTAACATGTAAAAACCTTATTTTTCAATACAAGGTTTCACGAGTTTTTGCAGTAACAAATAGTCACAACCTGCAAAATTTCTACACAAACTATAACCATTTTCAAAATTTCAAACCATTAAACATCAAAGTCAAAGTTGACAAACCTCAAAGTTGTTGCAGCAACATAACAATTGGTACAAAGTTCTTGTGTTCTTTTTTTCAGGATCAAAGGGAAAGCAGAAGAAGAAGATCTCGATGTCCACCATCTCACGTTCCACCGACGACGGACTGCCAACATCACACCTCAATCACCGGTACAAACTCCCGACGCAAACCAACAACTCCTTGCAGATCCGGACCCCTCTGATTCCGCTACACACAGTGTCACCACGAGAAGCCATTGCACCGCGATAAGTGTCATCTTTTACCCTTTGTTTGTTATCTCTTGCAGATGAAAGAATGTAATACCTGGGAAAACAATGAAGAAGGTAAAGCGAGAGAGTTAAGATATCGTGAAAAGGGGAAGAATGGATCCGGTGACCTCTGAGCATTTCGCGATCTCCGCGCCGAAGCCATTCAAGAACCTCCGACGAATGCCGCACTCCCGACACAGTACCGCCGTCGATTCACCACCGCGTGGACGACCCTATTTCGACGAACCCGCAACGACACATCGAACCACCACTCACAGTCGCGGATCCATGCACGACTACCGCGAACCTCCGCAGCTCACGAAACTCCTCCGCGAGCACCCCAAGTTTCTCCGATCTGCAACCTTTCCGTGACTTCCATGTCTCCAGCACCACGCAGACTACCATCCACGCGTTCTCCTCCAGTGACGGTACCTTTACTCTTCTTTCATATGTTTTTGTGGTTTATAATCTTGTGGTGTTGTTAGAATTGAAGTTTGACATGAAATTGTATTGGCAATCTGTTTGGTTGAGAAATACTTGAGAGAGAAGGTATGAATCTTAGGTTGTTTGCTTGCTACTGATACGTGTGTTTATGGTAACATATATTCTCTTTTTTTCTTTTTTCTTTTTTTTTTTCTTAGGACTCTGCCATGTGTCAAATTGTTACCGGTCCTTCTTTATTTTGAAAAAGTCCCAAACTTATCATGAAATTGGGCTTCTCGCCCATGTATACCACCAATCCATGTTATTATTTTATGGGCTTATGTTTTTAGATTAAGAGTTTTATTTTAGTTTTTTATGTGAATATTAAGCTAATGTCACTTACGGTAATATTAGTTAAAATTAAATTTAATTAGATTAATTAAGTAATTAGTTTTTACATAATTTTAATTTTCTTTTTAAATAAAATTAATTTTAACATTTTGATAAATAATAGGTTTGATGGGCTTTACATCTACCACGTTCTCGAATAATCAATTGGTTGTTACCTTATCGATTAATTATTCAAATTTAAAACGTTAAAAACCAACAAATTAAATTAATTTCTTCATCCAACGCGGTTTAACTATAAAGAAGACCAACTCCTCTTCAATCCATCAAAACCGAAATTAAAACAGCTAACTCAAAAAGACATTTTTTACTAACTTAACAAAATCGCAATATATTTTCAAAAAAGAATTAAGTAGGGTTACTTTCAAAATTGACTGCGAACAACGTCTACGATCACCAACTTTTCAAACTCAGACAAGGTTCAAGGATAATTCGAAAGATATTCTACGCAATACTATAAAAAACACTAACCAAACCCTATGAACTACAAATTTGGACTCTTATTCTTCGCAATGAGATACGTAGGCACGCGGTTAAAACTAAGGGGAGTCCCTCAACTAAAAACTAAACATTTTCTCAAACACGGGGAAATAATGCAGTTAAATAGTAAATTCTTGATATATCCTTAGACTTAGAAGTGGAGCCCCTTGAGAACAAGGGGGATGAAGGGTGCCTAACACCTTCCCTTCGTCTAACCAACTCACGAACTTAGAATCTCTAACAATTAGGGTTATCCATTATTCTCCCATCCTTAGGACAAAAATTAATGGTGGCGACTCATATTTTTTGTCGGTTATGATATGAGGGTTAAGGGTTAGGAGGCTTAAGGAGTTTAATAAAGTTATGTTAGGTAAGTGGCGCTAGAGGTTGTTAGTAGAGAGGGATGGGTTATGGGTCAAAGTGTTGGAAGTTAGGTATGGGGTGGAGGAGGGGCGGGTGAATGAATGAGGTAAAAGTTGTTCCAAATTGGTGGAGGAACGTGTGTCGGGTTTGGGGTGGGTGGGGTGTAGAGGTGAGTAATTGGTTTCATGATAATGTAAGGAGGAAGGTAGGGAATGATGCTCATACTTTTTTTGGACGGATGATTGGATAGATGATGTAACACCATATTTCCCTGTCGGTAGTTTAACCAAAAATTAGAGTAATTTAATTAATAAAATAAAACATCAAGAATAGAATGCCGCATATTCTTACATCATACATGCTCATATAAAAAGATACGCAACACATAGTCACTTATTCATCATGTCTGAATTTTATTTCATTTATTCGCAACGGAAAACATCACTAGTAATTATTCTCAATATGAGTGATAGTTACCAAAATCCAAAATTCAACTTAAAAATATCAATTAAAACTCCAACAAATGGAGTTCTACAATAGTTTACTCTCATCATAATAAAACAAGCGCAAAACCCCTAAGTGTTACGTATCAGAGTTGACACCGACTCAATCTACACAAAATGAGCCACTTCTCAGTGAGCCTCTATGTAATAATCGACAGAAAATTATAGAGTCGCCGCCATTAATTTTTATCAGAGTCCCAATTTGTAGTTCATAGTTATTTGGTCAGTCTTTTTTATGGATTATAGAAATATCTCGAATTCTCCTTGAACCAAGTCTAGGTTTGTAAATTGTCGCATTGTAGACGAAGTTCGCAGTCGATAGAAGAAATTTCCATAATCCTTTTTGAAAATATATAGGTTTGAATTATGTTAGTAAAAAATGTTAGTAATTGATTGGTTATGTGTTTTTAGAATATGTTGTGCAACATGAGAAAAATAGGTTTTAATGCATGAGCAAAAATATTTTTATGTAATTAAAGTATTAAAAAAAGGGAGTTGAATTAATAAATAACAATTTTAAAAATAAATATTAAAAATATCTAATTTATTAATATGCAAAAAATATAATAAATAAATATCAAATAAATAAATGAAATCATATAAAATAAATTAATTTCATTTCAAAAACGCAGGGGGGTAAATTAGTTTAGGCAGTAAACCTAGGGGTGTGAATAATAGGGCCTTAAATCCAGATATTGGATTTAAGCCCAATTGCGCAGGGGGTATGAACTTCAGTTTAATAACAGCAAAATAAATGGGTTGGGGGTGCGATTAGGAATGGCCAGGCCCAAAACTAATTTGCTTAAGGCCCGCATGGATTCAGTATGGTATGCACACAAGTTTATCATGAACTGCCGGAATTACGCTCACTTGATCCCGACCAGAGGATAGAGGTTGAGGGTGTACGATACGGGCGACGCACCTGAATACGTAGAATGTTTATAAAAATGGATTTTCGAGCTTGAGGCCCATTTTCTTCTCTTGTTTCTCTCTATAACACAAAACCAAACAAACATTTTTTATTCTAGAGAGAGATGCTCTCGCCTCTCTCTAGAAAGGCGATCACTGGAAATCGCCCCGCCCTGGACGCCACCGTCCAGAAATTGCTTCCGCTGGTGGCTGCTCCAGGGCAACACCGCCTTCATCCAAACAAACACCGTGAGAAACTCCAAGCTCTGGGGATCTTCATCCAACCCTTAAGAACCCTAGATCATATCCACCCAAAAACACAAACCCTTAGAACCCTAGGGCGACACCCTTAGAACGCTAACTTAACCCCAAGAACCCTGAGAACCCTAACCTAACCCTAGGAACCCTAATCTGAACCCATAAACCCCAAATCAAATCCCAATCATCAGGCAATTAAAATCCTAAAAGCTAAGTGGTTCAGGCTTACTTGAATTTGTAGTTTACTCTTTTTGTTTTGCTTCTGGTTTGTCCTCCCAATTTCTCCTTTTCTTTCTTTGATTGGCAGGTACAAGATCAAAGATGGAGATGGTGTCGATAGTGGCAAAACTCAGATCTAGGGTTTTAAAAATTGAAACTCAGATCCCTCTTCTCCTTCTCATCGATCTCTTCTTCTGTTTACAAATTTCTTCCCCCTCTTTCTCTCTGTTCTTAGGGTTTATATAGTGTTAGGATTAGAACATATTAGAAAATTTTATTGTAATTGTTGTTACTTTTGCTGATTGTCATTAGAATTTAGAAATTAGGAATTAGATTACAATTGTAATTGATTTGTTCTGGATTTGATTTGTAAAACCGAACAATTATTGTATTGTAATGTACAAAAGATTTGATTTGTTATTGATTGTATTTGTAACTTTGATTTAGTTCAGATTTATGAAGATTTGATTTGATAATATGATTTGTTTTCTGGGCCCTTGAGCTTAACGAAGAAGAAAGAGGTAGATGCGCGCTGATTGCATTAGGGTTTCATCCCTTGGATTGACTTCGGTTAACGATTCAATAAAAATAAATAATATAAAAATAATAATGTTTATAATAATAATATTAAAGGAAATATAATATTAATAATGCTAATATTAATTTATAATATTGATGATATAGCCACAAAAATCAGAAATTGATTTCTGGATGATTTCAACTCAATGGGCCTCCAAAAATGTTATGGGCCATCCCCAAAAGAAAGAAACGTACACCTCTTCTTTGTTATATATAAAAAAAATGAGTAAGACCCTTAATGGGCAATCAGATTTTGATGGCCCACCTGAAACATCACACCCCCTTTATATAGCAATGCACCTTTATTTTTTCACCTTTAAAATGGGCTTTTATAATAACTTAATGGGCCATGAACCAAAACTTTATTTTAAGAAACAGCACTCCCTTCTATTTATAAATGGGACAAAGTTTAATGGACCATTAGATTTTGATGGTCCATTTAGAAGCACTACACCCCTCTCATGAATTAAAACCCTCATTAAAATAAGACCAAAAAGTACACAAATCAAAACAATGGAATTTCATATTTTTTTAGAAACATAGTAATAATATTGAAATATAAAATGATCACTGAAATTGACAAGGAAAATTTGGGATATGACAACTGCCTTTATTTAATTACCCTTTGATTGAATAGTGCAAGAATACGTATATCTCGCATGTTCGAATCAGAGGTTTAATAAATAATGGAAGACCCCAAAATTTGACCAAAAGATTATAAGGATACATTGTTCAGCGTTCACAAGAGTACGAAAAATAGGCACAGATGATGATATATCATCTTACCAGTGTTTGAACAAAAAGTTTTGATTTGTCTTAGATACGACAACATGGATAACTCGTCAGTACTTTAAAAGAGATCATAAATTTTAAACGTATGTACCTTAACCTAGGAGGTAAATAATATTTTTTTTTTAAATTGACTTGCTAATGCTTCGAGACTAACATTGTAGGCTTATAACGCAAATTTTGTCTATTTATCTCAGCCTAGGGGATGAATAAAATAGTGTTTGATAATACATTGTTGCATGAAGACTAACACAATGAATTATATCGCAGATTTCGTATATTTACTAAAATCTAGAGAGTAAACAATATGGGGATTAACCTGTGCATTTAACACAACCTAAAGGATAAATGACACGAGGATAGGCTTACGTATTCATCATGTCATAGAGGATGAATAATATAACCCTGAAAATTCACATATCTACCACAACCTAGAGGATA